GACTGGGAGTCTCAGCTTGTTGCCACCACCCAGCAGCACAAGAGAGTGCCCTACTGTGTATCACTAGCCCCAGAAAAGATCAAAATCAAAATTTAAAGTATGGTTTCTACCAAATGTATGTCACTTTCACACCACTGTAAAGTCGAAGAACCTAAGTCAAACCATCATAAGTCAGGAACTGTCTGTATTAAATAGAATTATGCCTCAGTTACTACTTCAAATCCTTTAATATAGTAGCCGATGATGATAAGATGAAGTTTCTTTATTGTTAATAGAATAAGGTTAAAGATAACCAAATTGAAATTCTGTGGTAAGTCAGGCTAGGATTATTAGAAGAATTTCTTGAAACCAGTGCATGTTCCTTAAAAGGAAAAGGGGTGACAAGAGAGGGTTCTAAAACTAGAAGGCCACCTGTATGTCTGTTTATGCGACCCATTAATAAAGAACAGACATTGGATTTGAGATGAGGTAAGACTGAAGCATGCAGTGGCATCCTGTTTTGATTGATTTTCATTTCCTCATAACTTCTGAGGTGGCAGAAGCCAACCACTCTCAGAGTTTCCACATCATTTTTTTAAAAAATATTTATTTATTTAGTTAGTTAGTTAGTTAGTTGAGAGAGCGTATGCACAAGTGGGATGTGCAGAGGGAGAGGGACAAGCAGACTGTGCTGATGTAGAGCCCGACTCGGGGCTTGATCTCACAACCCTGAGTTCCTGACTCTGCCACTCACCCCTGGTAGCAGGATGGAACTGGTACCTGAAGAAGTTGAGGAGGCCACTTTCCTACTGTCTCCATGACTTCTCTAGTGAAACTTTGGACAACAAAGATCTCTGTTATAGGGGCCTCAGCACCTTGGTTTTTCCTGTAGGCCAGAGGTAGGAGAGGTAGAGACAAGGACTGGCAACCAGACCTCAGCATCCAGACATGGACTGAAATGGAAGGGCACATGATTTTGGACAAAGGGAATTTTCATATATATAATTTTTGTTTTAGGGGTAGCAGGGCTTATCATCAACACTGATTTTATAGTTTGAAAACCAAACATTAAGGAGTCTACCTAAATGGCATTGTAATTTATGTAAAAGTATGATTTACTGAACACCAACTATGTCCCAGCACAGGGATGGGCATATATATCATAACTGCTAATCCTCATACCAGCGTTGCAGGGGAGATACTATTTTTTCTTTCTTTCTTTTTTTTTTTAGTAACCTCTACATCCAACATGGGTTCAAACCTATGACCCTGAGATCAAGAGTCTCATACTCTTTCGACTGAGCCAGCCAGGCACCTGGGGGGGATATTCTTTATCCCTCGTTTAGATTTGAAGAAACTGCAGCTTATACAAGTTTAAATAAATTACCCACAATATAGCTAATAAGTCACAGAACTTAGGTCTGAAGTCTTGGAATCTTGTGCATTTCCTGGAGTCTTTTAACATGAAAACTCATATATCTAAGTCAACAAATGACTATAATCTAGCACTATACATACTAAACACTTTTTTTCATGACACTACCAAGTCAGCCTTTAAATCATAACTTTGCTTTACTGTTGTCAGCTTTTAACCTGGTTAATCTCAGTTCTGTTGCCATTGGACTTGGCTCAGTAAATGAATAAATGAATGGATTTTCAGCCTTTCCATCTCTTCATCTTCCTTTCAGCCTTCTGAATGTGCTTCTTTACCTGCTGCTGCTTTATTTTATAGCCCTCATGTCAAACATACAGAATAGGAGACTATAAAGGCAAAGAAAAAGAGTGTTTCATCTTAAGTGTTCAAGTCTTTGTGACCACCCAATGAAGCTTATGTGTGCCTGTTCATATACATATATTTTTAAGTAAATTGTACACCCAGCGCGCTCAAACTCAGAACTCTTGAGATCAAGAGTCGCATGCTCTCCCGAATGAGCCAGCCAGGCACTCAGCCTGTTCATATTTTAAAGGCAAGGGCTGCAGTGGTGTGATGGGTATCCACAGCACCCTGTGTGCCTCTGCACATACCACCCTCTTAACCTGCACACGTACTCCCTCCCCTGCAGGTGAGGGAACAGATACCAGGAGGGGAAATGACAGACCAAATTTTCTGTTTGCAGAATTAAAACTGCCCACCTGATGAACTGCTCTATTTTTACAGCTACACCGTTTCCACTGGTGACTTTTAAAGTGTAAAACATACTACCAGGTTTATATTTACGTGATCTACTGGTTTGCAAAACACTCATTTGATTCCGCCCCCGCCCCACCCCGCATCAATTCTAGACCAGAGGCATGGGGCCACAGCACCAGGCCAGTTAGTGACTGACCACTCAGCTTCTCATCCTTGCTACCTTCCACATTTTTTTAAAGTGTTTTCCCTTTCCTCATAAGCTCAACATTACAAAGATGTTTTTTAAAAGAAAAATGTTAAGACTTTATTCAAGATATATATCAGGCATTATAACAAAACAGCAGAACTTCAACCTTTGGAATACTGTAATTTTACACCCCTTTGATGCACAGTCCAGTATACTATTTTATTACAGATCATTCTATAGGGACTACAGGAATAAACTAGGGAAACTGCACAGTCAGCATCCAGAAGGTCAGCTCTCGTAGTGTGTACTGTTGGAGAAGGAAGCACGTCCTTTTGCCATGTCAAATACTGTGCACGGTGAGGACTAGGGAGATACTCAGCTGTGATCATGGTAGATGAGCACTGTTATCACAAACACACAGACAGTCTACTGTAGAGAACATACATTTCAGAGGCCAGGGGAGCGAGCAAGCTATTCACACAAAGCCAGGAGGGATTATGACAAAGCTCTCCGGGGTCTAAGTACACCACCCCAACTCACCTCAGAAACGGAACAGTCGCCGGATGGCAAAAAAGAGTTATTACATGAAAATTACAGACTTTCGAGCTAGCATTTTGTAAACAGCCTGTGTCTATAAATCAGCAAATTAAAAATGTTCAGTTATATCCTCTAGACAGAACAGCACACCGCCACATGTACACTTGTAGGCATTCACATTTTATGTCAGTCCATACACAAATATACAGCTCGTTGGATAAGTAAACACATTTTGCCAGAAATATGAAAGCTGCTCTCATTTGTACAGTGAGTGTTTTTAAGAGAGAAACCAACTCCCTAATCAATACTTGAAGGAAAAATAGTTACATTTGCATTAAGACAGCAGTTTGGATACCTTTATATTTTTTAAATCTTGAATGAGAAGTAATACAGCGTGTCTGACAGTAGAGTGCTTCCAACGTGTTTTTGGCATAGTTGAGTGCAAACTTGGTAGCTTGTACTTGTTAAAACTTTACGTTGTAAAATGGTGAAAATATAGTTTGTTCATGAAGGATCTCTGCTGCTAAAGGCATTTATTATTCTGGCAAAAAAAATTTGCTAAAAAGCTGCTTAAGTGAAGCTGTTTCTGATAATTCTGGGTACTCCCAACTAACAGGTAAATACATTTAAAGCATATATTTTTTCCTCTGAAACTATTCAGTGAGCTTAAAGAAACAGATGTTCTGTCCCCCCTAAAGAGTCTAGGTATTGGTGGGTGTGGGGCACAGACAATGAAGAGCCCTCTGAACCACAAATTGGCTTTTAGGTTTGTTTTCCTAAATCCTGTTGTAAATTACAAAGTCACCTTTCAAGGGAATTGTGGGAAGAAGGGATTTAAATATGCATATCTGGCAACAATCAACTTCAGGTAAAACCCTTTCTCAGGTGGCTAAGATTCAGCCAGTGTGTCATCAGCCGAGACTACTGATGTGTGTTCGCAGAGCTCAGTAACGCAACAGTCTTGAACCGGGCCTGTTTATAGCTGGTTGACAGTAAGTTCTATGTGGTACATAACACTAATTCTCTAGTCTCCAGGGCATATCTATGAACAAACACAATCCAAGTATTATAAGTAACTGGGTTGTGACCACTGCATGCATTACACTGAAAGAAAACACCAACTCTAAGCACAAATACACAAGTCCTACATTTAGGCTCCGCTCTCCCGGGAGGGGTGGGGAGCTACCTCGGGCCAAAATGCTATCTAAACCAGATTCTTCTTTTCAGATAAAGTTCTCAGTCTAAGTAGAGAGTCCCCTCAGCTAGTGCTGTATTCTACTAAGGGATCCTGGCTTGCATAAGACGTCCAGTAAGACATAGAGTGCCCATGAGTGTGCGACTTCTCGCTCACATTCTGAGCAAGCCAGGAAGGAAACAGAAGAGTGTGAGCCCTGGCTGCCCAGGGTGCTGGGCAGCAAGTCAGTCCGTAAAGATCTCAACCTCTGAAACCTTTCTAGAACCCAGCATTTTGACAGGTGTCTCAGATGTATTTGATGGCATATCTGAAACACAGTTTTAGGTTTGGTTTGGTTTGGTTTGGATTGCGTGGTTGGCTTTTGCTTAGTGTTCTCTTAAATCAAGGTGCTCAGATTATAGGCTCCTCTACCTGGGGAAATAAGTCACGGAACCGGTTACTATAAAACAGAAACAGTCATTTGTCCAGCACTTTTGGAACACTCAAAATGATTCCTCTCAACAGGCCCGTGAGTTCACATCCCCAGGAAGTTTTACCAAGGGTGAGCCACCTGCCTAAGGCTTTGGTAAATCCCTTGAAAAGATTCAGAAGCTCTTAATCCAGAATCCCGGGGGAGACAAGCTTCTTGTGATTTCTCTTATTCTGGGCTGCTCCCCTGGCCTCACTGCACTCATCTCTGTCATTACAATATTGTCTCTTCATGCTAAGCACCTCTGGTTTTTTGACTAATCATCTGTCTGAAAAAGATGGACCATCGTCCTGCAGGAAAAGGGATGTTCTACTGGAGTTGTATTTAGAAGCTTTAGAAGCACATCTGAGACATTCTCTAGAATCAAAATAATTTTTTACATATCTTGTAGTTTTCTTACATATCAGAACCTCTGGCAGCCCTTGCGAGTCCATCAGATTAAGCCAAAAGCCATAAATATGTACATCGTAGTCCAAAGTATTAGTACCAAGAACAAAAAAAAGTTTAAAAAAATTGCTCTGTTTGCATTTACAGGACTAAAAACGAAGTATGCAACAAATAAATTACAAATGTACATCTCAGCAGTGTGAGGGTGATCTCTTATATTTCTAAAAACACACTGCTGACAATCCAATTGTGGAAAATTACTAACCTCAGAAGACTTAAAGGTCACCCCCCCACTACCTTTCCCTTTAGCTTCTCCCCAGCAACATAAAGAAAAGGAAAATAAAAGTCTTAAAAGTGTATGAGGGGAGAGAGTAAAGGCTGTGTCTGTGAGGCTGCACACTCAAAGCACACCAGCTTGCGGATTTCTGTGTTATTAGTGACTAGCTCTTTAAGGCAGAGAAGAAACATTCTGTGGGTCCGGTGCTGTTGGCTCATCTCACTCACGTGGTTTCAGTGGCTGAGGATGAGGTACTTTTCTTCCTAAAGTGGGATCGAAGAACTCTAGGCGGTGCCTGGCAGAGAAAACAGAAAAGGCATTCCTCAATTTGGCATAAGCGTGGAACCTTTTGAGGCGAGCACCTGTGTGGGTTTGTGTTGAGACTCACAGCTCCTTTGGCCACACACACACGTGTGTGAGGCAGCTGGCTGGGAATCAGGTTCACATCCCAAGCATCCCATGCTGAGCCAACTCTCCTAAGTCTCCCAAGCAAATGGTTGCACGGAAGGATGACACACCTCTCTTGTTTCTGCCTTGGGAGCAAAATGATCCTAACAAGTGACTCAGCACAGAGAAATGCCTCCCCGTCTCTTCCCTTGTCTTTGTTATTTCCTTTGGAAACCAGCCAATTGTTTCCAGGTATGTGCCTAAAATTTCCATCACCAAGTTCCCAGTCCTCTTTCTGGATGTGAAATCCTTGAATGCACAGCAGGCCACACAGCAAAGGGAAACACTGTCCTTAAGGATAAAGGGTCCCACCTCATCTCCCCTACAAATGGCTATCAAGGCGGGGTGGGGGGAGGGGGGAAGCCCTCCTTCCATGGAACACACAAATCACAGAAGTTACTTCTACAATGAAAGAAAAGGAAATTTTTGTCCTGGTATAGCACTCAAGGGCAGGGACAGAAAGTGGGGGCAGTAACACAACTGGTCCCAAGCTCCCCTCAACCCCTGTCTCAGTCCACTTCTCTCTACGAACTTCTTTTTCTATGGCACCCTTCTACACCTCTATTCCTTCTGACCTGAAGCCCTTCCCTCCCTTCTCTGTCTTGCTATTTATAGTCCTCTTTAGGACCCAGCTCCGCACAACCCAGACACACATATGCAGGGTCACCTTCTTTGTTCTCCTAGTGTTTCGCACATGCACACGAGAGGACATCAGGGGACTCTGCGCCCTGTCTCCCCCTCCTCACTGTGAACTTTCCGGGGCGGCATGCCGCCTTCACCATTTACCAGTAAGTAGCTCAGTGCCTGGAAGGCACACAGAAGGGAGGGAGGGAGAAAGGGAGAGAACAAAGCAGGAAATAGAAAGCTCTGGCCTTCCACATCCTGAGTCCTCAGGACACCTTTTTGACTAGGAAATGTTTACCAGTCACCTCTGGACACGAGTAAAAGAAGAATCAGAGAAACCTAATTTTTAGTTACCTGTCTCAGGCTGTTTAAACAGTAAAGCAGCTTTAACAAAATAAAACCCAAATGGCACAAACCCTCAGGCCCTACAATGTTTGGGGCACCTTCCTTGAGAGAGCTGAGCCCCTCACCCCCATCATGGGGCTGCCCAGGCTGTGACCGAGTGCATGAGCAGAGTCCAAACCCAGTTTTACCAAAACCTCTAACTTCAAAACTGACCCAGGTGTGCCCCACCCCTCCCGATCCACATCACAAAAGCAAGGCCCCTGAAGCTCGAGAGACGTGGCCCTCCTGCTGCCAAAACTCGACCCACATCCACAACTGGCCACAGTACATCTATCAGGTATATTTGCTTTGGGTCCTTTTAGAGGGCTGTGGCCTTTCAATAACATTTTATCAGTGTCTGCTTTGTGCTGTCTTGGAGATACAGTGATGAACAGCTTCATTTATAGAAACGTGTCAAATAACACATTTTCTTCCTCTAAAACACACATTTGGGTTGTTTTTCATTCACATATCATCTTGGGTTAGTGGTTGCAAATTTTTAAAATTTTATTACAGGTTCCATATCACTTCTCCTATTTCTAAGTAAAATGAGCAGTCTTTTTTGCCCCTTGGCAAGGATCTGGATGCTACCTAGCGGTTTGTCCTATCTGATGGAGAGAGATCTTCCTACCCCAGGCACTCAGGAGATGCTGGGGGCCCCAAGAGCTGCCACTCCCAGGACCCACAGAGCTCCAGGGCAAAGCCCCTGTGCAAACACATCCTCCAACCTGCAGCCCCAGACACCGTGTACCTCCAGGGAGAACTCCGTCTTTCGAGGCGCCTTATACTTGTACATGAAATCCAGCAGATCTTCCTCTTCCTCGTCCGAAAATGCCAATGGGTTTTGGAGCTGGTGGGGCTCCCAAGCCTTCACACCACCCTCATTCACATCTCCCTCAACCACTTAATGTCCATTTACAATCTACACAAAGGAGACAAAGTAGGGAGGGATCAGTGTAGAAAGGAGCAAGGAAGGCCAGGCAAGGTTGGGGTTAGGCACACCACACAACAAGCCTGTTAGGAAGACCGAGGTCCCGGTGTCTGAAGAAGCAGCCAGCATCCCCTGGGCCTCGCTGCAGGGCGGTCCCGGGCTGTGAGGGTGCCACTGGAAACCAGCAGGCACTGTGCACAGGAAGAAGCAGAGGCTCCAGAACCTACTGAAGAGCTACCGAGGGACGTGGGGGCACCGTTGCCCCGGAGGGGGGGGAGGAGGACGCTGCCTTAGCTGAGAGGTGTCCAGCCCTGCGGCTGAGACCTGTGATGCCACACCAAAGAATGCTCAGGGAAAGAATCTCCTCTAGAACGGATAACTGCAGTGATTTCAGAGGGGCCTGGCAGCTTCCTCTGTTCCACAGACAAGCTATGTTGACAGTGCCTTACACTCGCATATTCAGCTCCAAGCCTTCTTTGAGACAGGATGTCAAATGCCAGGAAGCCTTACCGAGAGAACCTTAAGCAAAGTTATGTAAGAGTTTTTCATTTCAAAGGCCAAGTCCCAGAGAAGCAAAGAAGCCTAGTGGAAAGAGAATCTAGGAATACCCTTCCCCCCCCGCCAGATGACAGCAAGATCCCTGTTTTAGTCTACCACGATTAAAACCACAGGAAAACCTCCAGAATTAATTCATGTCATTGAATGCACAGTATTTTTTAAAACATTCAAAGCTTAAGCATATTCCATGTCATCTGGCCAGGTGGTCAGCACATCCCCAGCTTATCTGACACTCAAAGAGATAGCTTTCTATGTTTCATATATTGTTTTTACTTAGAATCACAGACTGTAGACATAGGGGGCCCTCAGATCATTTGGTCAACCACCCAAAGGCCTGTAGAAAGAAAACGGAACTCCTTCTAGAACACCCTGCTACTGCTCCTAAAAACACAGTGAGCCATCAAATGTGTCCTCCCCATCAACAGGGGACTTGCTAGACTATAACACAGCACCAGACTTAACCAGGTGTGTTTAAGCAAAACTAACAACAGACCCTAACCTTGAGCCGCTTTTCCAGGTCCTGCTGCTGTACTCCCGAGCAGCCAGCAGGAGGCAGCACGAGAGCTAGGAGTTGCAAAGCGGACTTGTAGGCAGGGAACGGCCTGCTCCGACAGCGAGCGCCTTGGTAAGGGCCAAGACTTAGATCATTAATCTTCCTTTGATTTCTTTGCTCTGTGCACCCCCCAACCTGGGGGGGGAGCCCTCCATCCCATCCTAGGTGGAATCCTGACATCATCTGAGAGCTTAGTTCTCATCTCAAGTCAGACCTTGACACCGTCCACAGAGAAATTCCTTCTGGACACAGATACCTCTTGCCTGACAGGAGGAAAAAGAAACAGGCCTGCCTAGAGCCCAAAGACCTCAGACGAGGGCAGAAACCACAGAAGCAGCCTGGTCAGCTCGGCCCCAGCACGAAACTGGATCCTGGGAGTAGGCTTGGGGACTGGTTTGAGTCTGTGCCTCTGTTCCCTCCAAATCTTGGTCCCGGTCTTTCCCTGTGCTGTTGCTATCCACTCCTTAATACTCTTATCACCCCAGAGACAACCTTTGGGGGGAGTGACTCTCATGCAAGTTCATGGCCACAGCCACCACCTCCAAACCTCCGGTGATGGCAGCCAAGGCCTTGAGGCTGCAGAGCTGTCAATCTAGTGCCCAAGACTGGGCAGCCTTGAGGAAAGTGCAGGAGTCCCTGCTGTCTGCCCCAGCCTCCGCTGACATTCTATATTAGCAAATGCATCAGCAGGACTAAGGAGGCTAGTGGGCGCTCCACCTCTTCTCCCTGTGGGGAGGGCAGGGAGGAAGAACCCTTGGAGGCCTGAGTAGATGCTAGATGCGTCTGCACTGAGCCCGACGCCTACCCCCGCCTCCCGTAGTGCCAAACAACCCCAGGTTAGCAGACACATCCCACACAGCACACAGTAGCGGAAGCCATTAATGGAAGTCAGCAAACGTGTTGAAGAAGAGCACGCCCATCTGGAACACTTACATCCACGTCCCCGACAGCCACCGAGGAGAAAGAAAACAATATTCTGTTAGGGAAAGGGTCTTTGGGGATGCAACTCACACACGTGTGAGCGTGTGTGCATACGCGCAGGTGCACGCACAGCCACACACTCCCTCCCTCCTCACGTGCTCAACCTTGGACAGCTCCTGCTGCCGCCCGAGGCAACACGCAGCCCCGGAGCCTCGCTCATGGCCAATGCAATTCTCTCTCTCCCTCTTTCAGGACTAGGAGTAAAAGGCATGACTTTGCTTTTTAAAATGATGTCCCACACACTGGATTTTTTTTTTTTTTAAGAAAAACGTACACCTCTATGACTAATTCTGAGCAGTCATACAGACTTGAGTTCTATATTACATCAAGGCAGGTAGAGAGAAGAGGCAGGAAAGAGAGATCATAATAATCATAATAGAAAGAGACCCGTGCCAGAAACGGCAAGGAATCGACTGACAGAGGGGCAGGAATGGAACCGAAGTCGGGAGAGAATGTTCTTCTGGGGTCTGAGATGCACAGATGAAAATCATCTCAAGGGACCAGAAGGGGTCCTCTGACCAGAGTGTCTGTGACCCCCTGAACTCCTCTCCCACGGTGTCACTGCCTGAGAGTGGCCTCCAGCCCCCCAACACCATCTGCTGACACTTCACACCTGGCACCCTTCGCTTGCAGAGCCGGCCACACTTTATGGAGGAGGGGACAGAGGCCTGCAGAGCTCAGGGACTTTCCCACCAGCACAGAGGGACTTGGTGTAGACCAGCCTGGCTCCTTGCAAGCAGACCGTGGGGAGACTGGAAGGTGTGGGGAGAACTCTGGGGCAGTGGGTGTTAGAGGGTGCAAGAAAGGGAGGGCTGGG